GAAGACAGGGAGAAGGAGAAGACGGGGGAGGGGAAAGGAAGCCACAAGGTAGATTACTACTAGGTTGTTCCTTAAATCCTACATTTTCTAGTAAGTCTGCCATCTTTTCTTCATCTTTCAGAGTCTACTGGTAGTTGCCTTCTAGGTTTTACGCTAGAGCAGAGACAGTTATGGAACTCTTGCCTTTTGTCTTGGACTGCACACAAATTACATAATGTAGTTCGTATATACGCATAGTAAGACTTCTTTTATTTTTTGTATTTTTTTATTATGAAGTTTAGCAAAAGGAGAACAATGGAGGGAAATTCGACCTCGTTTTTGTAAAACTAATTTATCAATGTCTGGTTTGATGGACGTGGTTACAATCCTTAGTGAGTGTTCAAGGTGCTCGTCAGAAATATTTGTTTGAATTTTGCATTTTGTGCTTCATTATTGAAAATAGCTGCTCACAAATATATGTGCTGCTAAAAAGCGATGTCATGGATAAGGCGTGATTGTGAACCTCAGAAAAGGAGCTATGCATGGGGTCTCAGAGAAAACAAATGCTAAAAAACACACCATGTTAAAAGATTTTGTGGGTCCGGCACAGTGGCTCACGCCTATAATCCCAGCACTTTGGGAGGCCGAGGTAAGAGGATTGCCTTAGCCCATGGGTTCGAGACCAGCCTGGGCAACTTGGTAGGCCCATCTCTAGAATAAATCAAAAAAATTTCTGGGCGCGGTAGCGTGCACCTGTAGTTTCAGCTACTTGGAAGGCTGAGGTGGAAGGATCACCTGAGCCCAGCAGATCGACACTGGGGTGGCTGTGAGTGTGCCACTGCACTCTAGCCTGGGCGATAGAGTGAGACTCCGACTCAAAAAAAAAAAAAAAAGAAAAGATGGGCCGCATGACAGCTGTCCTGGGCCGCATGCGGCCGTGGGCTGCGGGCTGGACATGCCTGCTCTAGAGGTTTTAGTTGTAATTAGGAGAAATAGCATGTCATGTCTTTATTTTTTTCGTGAATGGAACTAGATGCCCTTTGCCTGGGGCTTTGGCTAATCGTACGATGTTTTTAAACATCCTTATTTTATAGCTTTCCGGCAATTTCACACATGAATTTCATGTCATGTCTTGTGTTCTTGCAGTGTCCTGCTGCCTCTTGCTCGGAGTGTATGTTTCCTCATGTATTTTGTTAGCTTGGCTTGTGATAAACCGAAGTAGGGCTTTCTCTGTGAAAGTCCTCTGTGTTCTGGGTTATGTATGTTCTTCTAGAAGTGTTGTTTGTTTCCTTATGTTCAGAGATTTATGTAGACAGTCTCAGTTTCACCTCTTCATCTCATTCAAAGCCAGGACTTGTCACCTGTCCCCAGGACTTGTCACCTGTGCCTGGTAAGACCCACACTTGACAATACCAAGTGCCGGTGAGGTTGCGGAGTACCTTGAACATTCATCCTTTGCTGGTAGAAATGCAAAATGGTATAACTGCTCTGGAAAAGAATTTAGCAATTTGTAAACAGCTAAATATTTACTTATAAACTTATATTTACTTATTAACCTGGCAATACCACTCTTAAGCATTTACCCAACAGTAGCGAACACAAAACCAAAAATGAACACAAAAACTAATATATGAATATTGATAGTAACCTTACCCCTAATTGTCTCCATCTGAAAGCAATCCAAATATCCTTTAACTGGTGAATGTGTAAGCATATTTAATGTATCCATATTCAATAATTAAAAGGCATAAGCAGGCTGGGCACACTGGCTCACAGCTATAATCCCAGCACATTGGGAGGCTGAGGTGAAAGGATTGCCTGAGCCCATCGGTTCGACTAGGCTGGGCAACTTGGTGAGACCTCGTCTTTACAATAAATCAAAAAATGAGCCAGGCGTAGTAGCGTGTGCCTGTAGTTCCAGCTACTTGGAAGGCTGAAGCGAAAGGATTGCCTGAGCCTAGCAGGTTGAGGCAGTATGCCACTGCACTCCAGCCTGGGTGACACAGATTCCAACTTAAAAAAAAATTTAATGTGCCTGTTTATCTTTTAGCATCACCCTTCCTTGAATAGTCATTTCTTTCATTTAATTCATATTAAAATTGATAACTTGCTCTCCAGTAGGACTCCTAATCCTGATTTCTTCAACCACAGATCATTTAAACTGTCCTTTGATATTCATGGGGGATTGGTTCTAGAACCTCCTCATACCAAAATTCTCTGATGTTCAAGTCCTTTATGTAAAATGGCATATTTGCATATGACTTATGCACGTGCAGTACCCACAGATGCAGAAGGCCAAGTCTAATGGTCAATGATTGCATATTGTCTTTTTTTGTGCTAAACATTTTTACTTCACTCATTCCTCAGATCGAGTGCTTGCTTCAAGGGTAAACTTGGCCTTCTCCCAGCCTCCTTCCCTCCCCAACATGTGAAGGTAAGTCATGTGGTGTCGACCAGATGTTATTTTGGTAGTTGCTAAGATGAAGCCCAGGCTGGGGGAAGCTACTGAGTTCTAACAAGCCAGTGTGTATCAGACTCAGCTACACTGCGGGGAAGGGCAGAGGTGACTGCATTTTGCCTTCAACAAAGTAACTCTTAATTCCTACCAAAAATACTTGTTTCTGTGATGCTGGAGAGATGGTAGTGTCCATGGATAGGGCAACTTAGAGACTTGAGGGCATCTTCCAGTTAGATGGAATTTTCTTTCCCTCTATTGACGACTGCCCATCAGGGTGATTTTCTTTGAAATTTCTAAGCCGGGGCTCTCACATTACTCTTTCTGTTCCTAGTGATCACTGCATATAGAGTAGTCACATGCTCATACTTAATATTCTGATGGTTTTATTAACAAGTATATAATACATATATTGCATACTGTATATATGAGGACTGTACAGTACAAATTTATGTTCACAGTTTGACATGACAAAATGTCATTACTGAATTCCCATTGGACTACAGAGTAGAAACAGAGAAGGTACATTAAACATTCACATCTTTAGTAAGAAAGATTACCAAAATGTTTCAGTATTTGCAAGTATACTAATGCATGCTAAAAACCTTTACCCATTCAGTCTTATTAGCTTATAAAATATATTACACTTTATTAAAAATTTCTGCATAGTTTATACAAGTATTAAAGTACTGTAAATGTAATAATCCTGCTATACTTGCAGGGATGGTTTAAGAGATGCTAAGCAGAAAGATTATCTTGACCCTCTAACACTAAGTACATAACAGAAAAAAAAGTGCTAGTATTTGTAAAACAATATTGTTGTAGCCCTCGTTTAATGCATGTAAAATGGCTTTGTAAATGTATTATTCAGGTGAACTTGTGATCATTCGGAAATTGTTAACTTTGACCAAGAAGAAAATAAAGATAACTCAGTAACTCCATGTATGATGGCAACTCCTTCAAGACAACTGTATATTTTCAAGCCAAATTATATTTTAAAACCTTAGGTCTCTGAGATTGTCTTTGAAACAATCTAATCAGGAATGATGTGCAGATATACAGTATCAGCAATATAGTCTTTCAAACTCCACATTAGTGCAATACTGACAGTGCAGATGGGTGTTTAATAAAATATACATATACATAATATATGAATCCCTGTAATTCCGTTCCAAGGCTCTGGAAACTTCTGTGTATTTAGCATCTCCTCAGTTGTACATAGCTATGCTGCTAACACATTCTCCAAACGAAGTGACTTAGAATGTTAATGCCCATTTATGATGGAGATTCACATTTTAAAACTCTAAAATACGATGGATTCTGATTTAATCTTTCTGACTTCTCTAAGATGACACCTGGGTAATAAGAAACTCTATATAACAAACAGAACTCACATGACACCAGCTTCATGTTTATAAATCATTCTCACCCATTTAAAATATTGCAGTTAAAATGATCGATAGTAACATGGCACATCGTTTAAACCACATGTTCAAGGGCATCTTATCTCTCACTTCAGGTCTTCCACAATAACAGCTAAAAATGACTAAGAGACTAAATTTCTCAACTACCAAAGTAAAAAACAAATATATATAGAAGACAAATTTGGCAAGGGCCAATTGGTAACAAAAGTCTAAGGACTAGCATGGGAATAGAGAATGGTCTCTCTGGGTTGCTTTTCTTCCAGAATTAAAATAGATCTTTGCTCATGAACAACTGGAGCAAGCTGAATGGTAATGCAAGAGTCTTTGCAGGGTCTTGCTTGATCTTTTGAACAAAACTTAAATATGCCATAACAAATGCATCAAATTTCATGCAAACCCAAGAAGCTTTCTATTAACTGAACTCAGACTCAAAGATGATGACCACATCAATTCTATCCTTTCCAGCCCTTTCCCCACCACCCCCATTCTCTACGGGTTGGAACATGCAAACTGGGTTATTTCCATCAAAACAAAAAAAGTTCCTTGCTTTTCATCTTGATTCTTGCATGTTGTGGAAGAGCCACTTCAAGAAATGAACTCTTTGCTATGAGTGACTAAGCATTTACAATATAGACAGTATCTATTCTTCAAAGAACTATTTATCCCTCAATTTGTTATAGTTGCAAAAGAGAAAACATTATAGCCCAATTAGGAAGTTTTAATATTCTAGGCAAATTTTGCAGTGCTTTAAGAAAAAAAGAAAACCAAACCCAAGTGCCAAGATAAAACAAGCTTCTCTGCATTTCTCAACCACATTTCCTTCCAGTTGGTTCACAGGGCTGATGAGTGGGACCTCTAAGGTGCAGTCCTTCTAACTTTTATTAACATGGTGCTAGCAAAGCATCCACACAATGCACAGGCCTCCAGAATCACCCATTCACCTATGTTTTACAAATGACTTAGTATCTTCCTCCCCGGCAGGTCGTGTTGCATCCTGAGATGTGGCTGGGCTGAACCTTCAGGATTCCGTTCTCTCTTCTCCTCCTCCATTCTTGACAGAGGGACGAAGGGGCATTCGGTGACATGCACCCACATGTAACCAATGGCCCACTTTCTTAACATTCAAGACCAATGGCATTTCTGTATATAAATTACTTTTATTAGCATTTAGACTATGGTGTTCAAAAGCCTGCTTTTGAAAAACTTCCCCCAATCACGGTGCTATTGATCTTCAGCATAAACACGAGTCATTATTTTGTTTGTTCTTCTGATACTTGATAGTGATGGGAAATTGCCAGCTCTGAATAGTACATTTGTGGGAATTTTTGAGCTATATATATGAATCCCTGATCTGTGGTTTTCTATCTTTTTTTTTCTTTTCAGAAATTCCCAAAATTAAGATAATTGTGCTTCACAACTAGTTTATTTACAAATCACTGTCACTCAGGTCTTAACTGAATGAACCTACCAAAGCATCAGCAGACGCTTCTTTATGATATGTGTCATGAACACAAATGACAGCCAATGTGGCCCCTCACAGCTCACAAAGAGTTCCTGTATAAAAGTTATGTGATGAATTTGATCGGGGAATACAGAATATAAGTACCACTCAACATTTCCCTGTTGACAAAAAAGCTCTAAGCAGGTTGGGTAAAAGAAAGACCATTCATATGCTTACCCAAAAGATTTTCTAACATTACTGGGCAAATATTTTCAGAGTCCTTATTGACGATGTTTGATGATCTCTTATTAAGGACATTGTTGGAATGGAGACAACTGCATGATAACCCCAGAGGGATCTGACTTTGCAGCACAGTTCTTAGAATGCACAGAGATGGGAGCTCTGGGAATGCACTGCACAGCCTCACCGCTAACCACCTGTTGGAAGTTCACTGACAAGCCCCAGCCCAGGAGGAATGGCCGGCTTCCTCCTTTGCCTCCTCTGCTCCATGGGTTCTGCTTCTACTCCACACTCTAAAAGCACAGCACCCATCCCTTAAAACTGCTACACGTCACCCACCTAAGTCAACAGCTCTGGCTCGTCTCCCCTTGGTGGCAAAGACTTCCCCATGAGCTGCAGGAACAAAAGAGGGCAAAGAACTTGATTTAGATGAGGTGAGAAATCCAGGTTGACACAAGCAAGATTCGTGAAGGATGACGGGAGAGTTGACTGGACTTGGCTGGAAATCTCAGTTCTTCTAGCTAATTGGTGAAAGAGACCACCCTTCTTTTTTGCCATCGAGCATAAAATATCATCACAGGGCACAGAGGTATTGAATGTCTCTGGCAAGGACTAGCAGGCTGGATGCTGTATTTCTAATACATTTACTTTGACATTCTTTTGAGGAATACATGGAGAAACCGACAATTGGTTAGGTTAGTTTACATGTTCCCTTGTTCTCATGACATTAAACGTATCTGTAAGAAGGGTTTGCTTAGCATCCCCAGGAAAAAAAAAAAAGTGTTCACATTCTTTAGGTCTGACCCGTGGTAAGGAGGAGGATTAGAGAATATCTACTACTGACCATGTGGAAGTTTTGGATGATATAAATTCAGAAATTCAGACCAGCTGAATCAAAATTAAAATGTACATGTAAAAAACGTGTTAGATCATGGGAGGGAGGACAGAGAGAGAGCCAGGTGAGTGGGGAGTCACATGGAGGTGGGACACGGAGGCGTTCAGACAAGCATGTGGCGTTTCCTATGGAGGGCAAGATGGTCGGAACGGGAGAAGCTGCGGTCACAGTCTGGACACTGGAAGGGTTTGATTCCAGTATGTTTCCGGAAATGTCTTGTCAGTTCATCAGACCGAGCAAACTTCCATGTGCACCCTTCCCACGTGCATTTGTAAGGTTTTTCTCCTGCAGAAGGGAAACAGAAAAGAACTTAATTTTTCTGCAATGAGAGGAAAGTTAATTTTTACCTAATGTTTGACAAATATCATCTCCAAGATATGCTCACTCTTTTGTCCCTCAATAACACAGTGCCTTATAAATCATGGGACAAACAAGGAAAAAAGGAATTAATTCTCTTAATTTTTAATTGGCTCTCTTACACTTTAACAGTTCTTAGAGTGTAAAGTCATCGAAATTCATTCTGAAGGACTACAAAGTGATGCTTTGATTAACACAGGGTGATCTGTATTTGTGTATCTCCAAATCTTAAACTTACTTGAGAGCTTAATTGTATGCAGTGCCATTCATTTACTGAGAAGTTAAAGTTGAAAGCTTATGGAATTTTCTTATACTTTTCAATAGTTTTCTAACAACGTGAAGCCTCTACCAACTGGAATATGTTAGGGATTTCAACATTTGATGCTCTTGTTTAGTCAATAACACGCCTAAATATAACACTTTAATTCAGAAGTACTAAAAATATAGTAACTATTCTCCATCTGTCCAGAGCCAGGTTTTTACAACAAGGATAAGGACAAGGATAATTTGCAGATGAGAACAGAAGACTCTTGTGGGAAAATGGCAGAGTGAGCCAGTATGAAGGCCCTTACCAATAAAAGGCTGTCAGGGCAATCTTACATGTTTAAATGAGAAATGAGGGGTAATGAGTTATCACCAATTAATTCCCATTTAACACCCCCTGTTCTCTAGAAGTCTTGTAGGACTGCCATTACTTGGCATTTCAATGAGATATTCGGAATCTATATTATCTGCCTCACTGTACAGTATATAACTAAGAGGCATTTTTCCAAATGAAAATCTGAATTGTCATCCAAACATTCAATGTCTTTGTAATTTTAGGTTGGAAGTTGGTAACATCTACCTCTTGAGTCCCCTTAATGCCCTGGAATGCTTTTGTTAACCAATCTGGCATTGCTGTTTGGGCATTCCTCTAAATACAAGACCTTTACCCTCAGCTCTCTCTGTGGTAAGTAACATCAAGCCAAAGCCAATTTTTCCTCAGCTTCCTCTGCTTCTGCCCAGGGTTCACTGAAAATTTCACTTCTACAGTCAAACCCTCTCCTCCCCTTTTTTCTTCCAAAAACCAGATTTCATTCTTTGTAAGTATACCAAATAAAAAGGATTCATAAGACTGAGAAAAACAATCTACATTCTGAGTTAAGAAAAATATACACAGAGGCCAATCACTGTCAAACAAGAAATTTCACATCTAAGAGTTTGATGAGAAATGAATCTTACTATAATCACTAACACTAACTGCAGTCAATCAGACTTTTAAGACTTTATTTATTTTTTTTTAGAGCTGAGGGTCTCCCTATGTGACCCACGTTGGACCTGAACTCCTGGGCTCAAGCGATCCTCTTACCTCAACCTCCTGAGTGGCTGAGACTACAGGTGCGAGCCACCATGTGTGACCGTTAAAAACATTTTTGCATGATTTCCTTAAGATGTTTTCCTACCAAAACTCTCAGAGCACTAGGAATAATTTCACTCTTTCTTAACATTCTCTGTATTCAAGATCAGGCAAGGCTGGGTACAGTGGCTTACACCTGTAATTCCAGCATGTTGGGAAGCAGAGACGAGAGGATTGCCTGAACCCAGAGGTTTGAGACTAGCCTGGGCAACCTGGTGAGACCTCGTCTCTCAATAAACCAAGAAAAATTAGTTGGCTGTGGTGGCACACACCTGTAGTTCCAGCAACTTGGAAAGCTGAGGCAGAAGGATCACCTGAGCCCAGCAGTTCAAGGCTGTGGTGGCTGTTGAGTGTGCCACAGCACTCTAGCCTGGGCAACAGAGTGAGACTCCAACTCAAAAAAAAAAAAAAAAAAAATCAGGCAAGATGGAAGATACCCTAAAACAAATATGGTAACCCATGGCACAGGAGCTCCCTCAACTTGTGAAAACAAAAATCAACCCAATTTCTCCACTTTTCTTTCCTTCAAGGACCATCTTCTCTTAAACTGTGGCACTTATTTGCTTAGCATCAAGAGCTGGTCTTGGTTTTCATGCATCTGACAATGTATGTATATAAAATGATAGCTCATGTATACGAAGGCCACATTCTTGCCAGTTAAAGCATTTTTTTCTCTGTCCCAGCAACTATGGTTCCAGCTCTTTCTCCCTCCTTTACCAGAGAGTACAGGACTTTGGGTGACTGTGAGGGACTTTGTAAAAGGGATTACTTAGAATCTATTCTAACTTAACACAAAGGCTAATCATTACCCAAACCTGCATTCTTCATGACTGAGTTGTGTGCAGATGACTATGGTAACTTTGAAGATGCCTGAAAAGCTTTCACCATAAAAACCTTGGAAAGTGAGAACTTTTGTCTTTAGCATTCCATTCTAATACTTCTCAAGGATAAAGGTAACGTGAGTCTGGTGCTTCAAATACCTGTGTGTGTTCTTCTGTGTGCTTTCAAGTGAGAACTTTTAGTGTACACTTTGTTGCATCCGTCATAATCACATCTGTGTATCCTCCGCTTCCTCTGGGTATCCGGGGATTCCACAGGTAAAGGTCTCTTCCCAGGCTGCACTATGACTGAAGGGTGATTCCTGGAAAGCCAAGGTTAAATGCGAAATGTTGAGAGAACGCACTTCCTTTTCTTCAGTCTACTAAAAGCATTAACAACACTGGGCAAAAACAAACCAAAAAAGCCCAACCAAAAAAAAAAAAAACAAAATGAAATGAGCTGATCAACCCTAGAAGCACTGCTATATTCATTCAACAAACATTGAGTGAGCACCTACCATGAGCCAGGCACTGTGCTTGGCACCGGGACACAAAGATGAATAAAAACAGGGTTCCTGCCCTCGAGGAGCTCACACTCTAGGGGGAGACAGACATGGAGATAAATACGACAGTCAGAAGAGTTAGGTGCTAGGCTACAGGGAGGCTCAGCCAACACTGGCCTGTTTACAGAATTCTGCAGCACCAGGCGATGCTGAGTACTATACTATATTCTTCCACAGGCTGCCCTGATTTTTATTATTGTTCTTAAGGGAAAAACAGAAAGGTCAAATTCCTATGTCTCGGGCAACCACACTGCAGGATATATCTACATTTTATCCTTTTACATAATTGGGCATTTAGTTGGAGTCTCTTAGAGACTTGCCAATTCAATTTTCAAATGCTGGCTCTTCTAAACAAACAAACAAACAAAGGGCTGTCATTGCTGTCTTCACAAATTCAAACCTCCCTGATCACTATTATTTCTGGGAAAATAATAGGGAGAAGTCCAGCGCAGTGAGTGGTCCTGCAGGTGATGCTGGACATTCTTGCCACCTTCCCGATTTCTCTCACACTCTTGAGCTGACACCACCCTCCCAGGGTGGATTTGCAATCAGATCTGGCTAAACATCATTACCAGGAGCTTTCTGCCTTTCAGAAAGGAAGGTGGTGGAGAGAAAAGTTAGATGGGGAAGCGCTGAGAAATGTCTGTAAAATTTTCTTAGGCTTCCCCTGCTGATTAATACAAGTAATTAACACTTTCTAATCTGCTCATTCACTTTCCTAATGACCAGATACATCACAAGTCTATGTCACTGGCCTCCAACTGCAATAGAAGACTTCTTTCTCTTTCAAGTCTGAATCGATAGCTCCTAAATGTTCCAAATAACACATGCATGTTTTGTGCAAGTATATAGGGATAAAAAGATTGGTAAAAAGGAAGAAAGCACTTGATGAATGAACACTCAAGCTTTGAGGTTCAAAGGAAAAAAGGAGGGGGAAAAAAATCAAGCCATAAAAATCAAAAGGGAGTCCCTGAAATGAAACTTGTTTTTTGTTTCAGTAAAAATTTGAATACACATCCCCATCAATAACTTTTCCAGGCAGACTAGGAGGGACTAGAAAAAGAATAAAAGGGGCGTTTCTTTTATGTGACTACTTTTCACATGCCATTATGAGTAAAGAACACTGTCAGTTCTGAGCATCATTTTACCTTCCTACCTTGTTGCCTAAAGGGGGCACAGTAGATAAAACAGCCAAGTTTAGATACACAGAAAAGCGAACACAGTTGGGGAAAAAAAGAACAAGGACTTCACTCATGTACCCATGCAAAGAAATCACACAGAAAACCGAGAAGGGAGAGACTCATGGACAGATAGAGTTTTTATAAGGTCGAGTTATTCATTTGAAATCCTTCAATTAAAAAAAGTTCTCAGTTTATTTTTAACTTTCAACTTTAATGCCATCTAATGAAAACGTTTCATCTTCATTAAGAGAACTTCAGGAAATAACGTGCTGGGGAAGAAATGTAATCATTAACTCTGCAACTTTCATGTTTCTGGGATACTGGGAGTGCATCTGTCCCAGATGACTTAGAAATCTCTCTCAATTATTGGATTTTATGGGCTGGGAATCTGAGAGTTTCTGTGCAGTAATTATGACTGCTTTTTCCAGTGGCTTATTTTATAGATGAAGGTACACCGAAAGGCTGTGGGCTCCAGCTTCAAATCCCTGCTCTGTCACTGACAGTCTCTGCATGTCAGTTTCCTCCCTATAAAATGTGAATGATGCTTATGTTATCGCAGAAGATTATTGTGATTCATATGCACAAAGTACTTATGAACAATGTCCATTCCAGGGAGAAAACTACTAAATGGTAGCTATGAATATTTTGACGTTTCCATTCGGAACTTTGCACTCTATGGGAGTTTTTTGGAGATGTCCCCAAACCAGGAAACATCTGCTTGAGTTAATGTCTACCTCACACACTCTGAGTGTGGTCACCCATCTGATGGTTCAGACTGAGGCTGGATAAGGGTCTTGGGGTGTCACACTTCTTGGACTCCTCATTCCTCATTTTTTTTTTTTTTTGAATTGGAGTCTCACTCTGTCGCCCAGGCTGGAGTGCAGTGGCCGCTCCCGGCCACCGCAGCCTCGACCTGCTGGGTTCTGTTGATCCTTCCGCCTCAGCCTTCCAAGTAGCCAGAATTACAGGCGCGCGCTACCACGCCCGGCTGATTTTTTAAAATTTATTGTAGAGATGAGGTCTCGCTGCCCAGGCGGGTCTCGAACCCATGGGCTCAGGCAATCCACTCACCTCACAGCCTCCCAAAGGCGCGGGATGACAGGCCGAGCCACCGAGCCCGGCTCCTCATTTTTAAAGAGGTGGTTTGGGATCATGCTAGATTATTACATGTTACAGGTTAGAATAGTGTTATAATGCTATTCTGTATAACAAGCTGCAGGGTTGTTATGGGGATACCTGTTCACTGTTTTAAGTTAAAGTAGCCCCTCTTTAAGTTTGCTACAATTCACATACACAACTCAATAGGAAAATCTGATCCTCAAGTTTTTGTGAACTAAATACAGCTTCACACATATATCACAAAAAGAATTTGATATACCTTTGAGTACCTTTAAAAACAATCCTAAAGCTGAAACACTATGATCAAGCAAATGGACTTCAGGGCTGTACTTTCCAGTCTGCCTCTGGAAAGGGTTTCCTAAGGCAAGCATGATCGGGCTGCCTCTCTGCAGTGGTGCTCGGCGCCTCGTTTCAAGTGCTTCTTTCCTGGCTAGCTGGCTTCCTACGTGGGCTGCTGCTGTACACGCCAAGACATTACTTAATCACATCTGTGAGATAATTACTTAAAGGGTACATGTCCCAGTTGTGGCTAATCTGTTTTATGTTTTTGAGGAGCAAAATGCATTCTTAGGTCAGCACTAAAATAAGAATATTAATCACTAAAAGCCACTGAGCTTGAGATCATCAAAAAATGTTACTTAAAATAGGAAAGGAAAAAATAATTTCCTTGGCGTAGCATTGAGAGCACAAGGGGGACAGGGAGGGGAAGGGAGGTGGGATTAATGGTAATCAATATCTGTCTGGGGACGGGGGGCACACCTCATCAACAAAGGTACCTGCACAATGCATATTTGTATACCTAACCCTTAACTGTACCCCACAATTTTAAAATAAAAAATATGTAGTTAAAAAAAAAAGAGCACAGAATATTGCCTTCCAATCTTCTGGAATGATCTACATCGTAATTCCGACTAGCCTAGACCTTGGAATAGCTTTTTTCCAGTCCACAAATCCTTCCTTGAGTAGGTACTTGGATTTCTTTAGTTTTAAAGCATCCTTCTCATCACCTGCACAGGAACAACTACAAGCGCAGGCCATGTTGCTAGTGCCCTTGCCAAGGATACCCCTCATCACTAAAATGAGGTAATTCCGCCTACAAGATGTGACCACTTTGCTTAGACATGCTGTCTTTCCTTTCCCCTGAGCGGATGAGCAGATGTGACCAATTGGATATGGTAAGATGGCAGGAAAAGCACTGATCTGGAAGCAGGAAGCAGAGCCCAGGGCCCCTCCAACCATGAGCAGTGTGACTACTGGGCTCATCAGTTCTTCATTTGCTCTGACTCCCACAGGCTTGCTATGGAGAAATTAAACAATTCCTTTGATAATATTTGGAAAGTTTTCTTCTGAAGGAGGAGGGCAAGATGCTATTGTGAAGAGTAATAATGTGCAACTCTCATCAGACACTCTCTCTCGACCCGCTGGTGCTGCTGGGTAAGCAGATTCTCTTCTTCATTGGGAAGCATGTGACAACCCTACCCCCCGCAATACTGATTTGGTCCAGTGGACAGTGAACCCATGAGCTACTTACTGAAGGCACCCACCTGAACTGAAAGGGCATATAACAAAAATACATTTGAAGTTACCAGAAAATGGTTGTTCTGAAGCCAGAGAACTCACATTCGGCTGCAGCACTTAATTGTGTGAAGGAGGTGGGTGGAAAAAGTAAGTAGGAAGGTGGGTAGGACATTGATTCAAGTGGGAGAAAAGGTGATGTTGGGGGACAATGGTGGAGGGGACCTGCAGGACAGCAAGTGTTGCCTTTGTAGCAGGAAGCTAGCTACTGAATCCAACGTGGAAGCACCACGACGCGAGACAGTTACAACAATTACAACCAACCATGAAGATGAAGGACAGAAAATGGGGGCATCAGGATGAAGTGACCAGTCGAAGGTCACACACAAGGGCAGAGCTGGGGTCCTTGGTGGACCTGCAGGCCACCTTCTTAGTGACTACAAGCCCACCCTCCAGTGTGATCACTAGTGGTAGTCTAGGTTTCCTCCAATGGCCAACCCCACAACTGACGTTATCTGACCCGTGGGTGGCACCATCACATTACAGCACGTTAGACTTGAACCAAGTCACCATCCAGGTGGCTGGAGGCTGACCAGTACAGCACAGCCCTTCTCCCAGATGGCAGTTCTGCAGGATACGGGGCACTCTGCAGGCAGCTGTGACCCAAAAGACCAGAGAATAAAGACTCCTTCCAACTTTGAGCTTCTCTGAGCTACACGGACAAATTCCTGTCACCACCATGATTGACAGGACTTGTTTTGGGAGAATCACTCCTAGGGCTTCTGGTTGGCCCGAAGATTTTGATGAAAGACGTTCCCCATAAAAGAAGCCACATACAAGATCAGAAGTGACAACTGGGTGGACTATTTGTGTCCACGTGAAAACTTTCCACAATCTAAGCTAGACATCAAATTCAATCTACACATGGATTCTGATGATGGAAGAATGATGGAGATATATCCTGGAAGCATTGCAAAAACCCAGAAGATCTATGTGGCAAGGCACAAAATCATGGATGACTACTTCAATGAAAACATGATACAACTTTTGTCATAATGTCGTCAGTGTAACAGCACCTTGCTTTTGGATGGATTCTCCCATTGTGCCCAGTGGGACTGGGCCACTGCCCACGGCGGTCACACACAAGGTATTCTGGTCATCCACACCACAGCACACATTTGAAATCTTTTGTTTTCATTCCCCATCCTAAGATGCACTCTACCATGCAGACACTAGGTAGACCTAAATATACTTACTCTTGCAACAATGCTTGCGGGGGGGACACTGAGTTCATTAAAGGGGGTGACATTTCTCCAGGATAATAATCTGTCCTCTGTGGTTCAATCCCGGGTTCTATTTTAATTTTTTTCTGTAATATAGGCTTCTCATAGGATTCAATTACAGGTACTAAAAAATAAAAATAGAAATGTCACTCCGTGCACAATTTACCAATTTCAGCTTTTATTTTATTTTATTTTAGTTTTTTGAGTTGGAGTCTCACTCTGTCACCCAGACTAGAGTGCAGTGGCTGCTTCCGGCCACCGCAGCCTCAAACCTGCTGGGCTCCGGCGATCCTTCCGCCTCAGCCTTCCAAGTAGCCGGAACTACAGGTGCACGCTACCACGCCCGGCTGATTTTTTTTATTTATTGTAGAGATGAGGGCTCACCAAGTTGCCCAGGCAGTCTCAAACCCGCAGGCTCAGGCAATCCACTCACCTCAGCCTCCCAAAGGCACGGGATTACAGGCTGAGCCACCGAGCCCGGCTGGTTAGTTCCTTTCAACCCCAGTCTTCTGTTTATGATCAGCTGGTAAACAAAGTGGTTTTTGATAACCATTAGTCATCACCATGATCAAAAAGTTTCATTCAAGGCTGAGTGTAGTGGCTTATAAGCCCAGCAATTTGGGAGGCCAGGGCGGGAGGACTGCTTGAGCCCAGGAGCTCAAGACCAACCTGGGCAACATAGCGAGACTTCATCTCTATTAAAAAAAAAAAATGAGCCAGGTGTGGTGTCACGCGCCTGTAGTCCCAGCAACTTGGGAGGCTGAGGCAGTAAGATCGCCGGAGTCCAGGAGGTTGAGGCTGTGGTGAGCTGTCATCGTGTTTCTGCACCTCAGCCTTGGCGACATAGTGAGACTCGGACTCAAAAAACAAAAAACTAGCCGGGCTCGGTGGCTCAGCCTGTAATCCCGCGCCTTTGGGAGGCTGAGGTGAGTGGATTGCCTGAGCCCGCGGGTTCGAGACCCGCCCGGGCAGGCGAAACCTCATCTCTACAATAAAATCAAAAACTTAGCCGGGCGTGGTAGTGCGCACCTGTAATTCTGGCTACTCGGAAGGCTGAGGCAGAAGGATTGCCGGAGCCCAGCAGGTCGAGGCTGCGGTGGCCGGGAGCAGCCACTGCACTCCAGTCTGGGCAACAGAGTGAGACTCCAACTCAAAAAAAACCAAAAAAACAAAAAACAAACAAACAAACAAAACTAAAAAAAATTAATTCAATGCTTTTTGTACTGAGAACCAAGTTGGTATTCAGTAAAGCAACATAGAGTCAAGATTCTTTCTATCCCCAAGTTGACAATTATATAGTGAAAGTCATCATCTCTTGGTACCAAAGAGACAGTCCGATTCTTGGGATCTCTTCCAATGTCAACACTTGAAAAGAAAAGAAAATGCCTTAGGCAGAGGAATATCAGCCCTCGCCCCCATGCTCCCTCACCCAGCCCAATGGGATGACCCAGCCTGTTGGGTGAACACCCAGCGCACTAAGCCTGCGGTGACCTGGAGCAGGGCCAGGACCTACCTTGCATGCTGCTATTGGAGTTTTCCATCTCCTCCGACAAGGAGACCATGAGTGGCTGCTGGAGGTGACTCGTGTACATAAAGGGGACAGGCTGCACCACCACGGGCTGTATGACGGGCAGGATCCCCGGGCTGCGGATGCCGTGCCGAGAGAGGGCAGCCGCCATCACCGGCGGCATGGACAAGGGCACGCCAAAGGGCTGCACGCCTGGTGATGGGGGTGAGTACTTCTTCATGGGCGGGCTGGAGGAAGGCATGCTGAGCCCGGGGGAGGCTCTCCGGTGGGAGGACGGGAACTTCAGGGAGGAAGGAGAGCTCCCGGTCGATGGGGGAGAGCTCCGCTTGTTCACCGTGAGGTCCACCGGCTCCATCTGCATTCCGGGCGACAGGCCTTCTGGAGTCTGAAAGAACTTATCAGACAATGGTGCAGAGTAAATGACCCCGTACTTGTTGGGCTTCATCGATTCCATGTAATTAGATGGGTATGACTATTGGAGAGGAAATGAAAAAAAACAGAACAAAATGTGTGAACGGCCAAATAAGTGCATCTACCTGAAACACAAGAATTAAGGCAAAAACATGTAACAAGGTTCTAGCAATTACATGGGCTTGAAAAAGATTTAGATGTATATCCTTTGCTGTAGAAAAATGCTACGAGAGAGAGAGAGAGGTGAGCTAATATACATGAAAACTAAGGTCAATGGGTCTCTGTGCCACGATAGAAAATCTGAAACTTAATGCTAAATTGATTTCCACATCAAATGCTAAGGCTGATACCTGGTAAAATTCTAAAACAGTAGGCCAGGAGTAGTAGCTCATGCCTGTAATACCAGCACTTTGGGAAGCAGAGGTGGGAGGATTACACGAGCTCAGGAGTTCAAGACCACCCTGGGCAACACAGTGAGAACCCTGTCCACACACACACACAAATCAAAAAATTAGCTGGGCATGGTGGCATGCACCTGTAGTACCGGTCACTTGGGAGGCTGAGGAGAAAGGTCTGCCTGAGCACATGAGGTCAAGGTGAGCTGAGATTGTGCCATTGCACTCCAGCCTGGTGACAGAGTTAGACCCCAACAACAACAAAAAAGAGAGCTGGGGTGCACCAGGGACCAGCCAAACCAATCTAATCTGGCTTCTCTTCTGACAGGGCTTCTCTCTTGGCAGTAAACGCTCTCTGGCTTTAGCATGTTTAACCTCAGCAGGACACTGCTCCTTTCTCATGATACACTTCTGTAGATAAAGAGAAAGGGCTGCATCTTACACCTTTTTGATGTGCTTCAACAGCTGAACAACCCATGTGTAGGTGGTGGCCAACAAGACTCCTTTGCCCAGGACTGTCCTGGTTTTAGCATGGCGAGTCCCACATCCCACAAAACTCCAGTCTCAGGCAAGCCAGGTGGGTCAGTCACCTTCTACACCTTTGGGTGGAAGGACACCCTCCCTAAGGCAACTGTGTCCTTGGTCCTGACTTGTTCACGGGTCTTCTTTATAGCCCGAATAAAGCTATAGATGATAACCCGATTTTCAAATCTGTGGATGACACAGTACTGTGAGAAACAGCTAGTATGATATGACTGAAATAAGGAAGCATGGTACTAGAGTCTCTCACACACAAGCTGAGGCCTAGCAGTCGTTTGCTCTCTGACATCCTGCCACTTATCAAGTGAGGCCAGGGACAACCTGATTAGACACTGGAGGAGACAAAATGGCCAGCTTCCTCTCAAAGCTCTCTTCCATAATTGACCCAACTGATCTTCAAACACCTTTTTCTCTTATAACATCAGGATAATCCAACTTGCACCTACCAGCTTTAAATAAAAAATCACAATAATCTCAAATGTTGTAAATTTTCCTTGTAAAGCACATTCATTTTTAATTTTTTTAAAGTCAAACTCAAGAAGCCATTTTCTTTACTCCTAGGCATTTTAGGGAAACTGAGATTTTTAGTGATAACATGTCAAATTTACTTGCAGGAAATTATTTGTACTTGAATGTTATGCAGTGACCGTGATAAACAACACACCGTCCCTCTCTCTCAGCTCTAAAACCCCATGTGTTTACGTCTTGGAGATAATACTAACTCAGGATGCAACCAAGAAATTTCACCATGGGGGCCTTATGATTAAACAGCCTAAGTGAACTATTAACTTGCAAGACTTCCTGGCTGCTCCATGGGCCACCATTCTGAGTTATGAATAATTGTGGGCTAAGAGTGGTTTTGATGGAGACCATTCACTTTCTTCTCTGGGCCTGGACTGGGTGAATCTTCACCTGGTTATGCATCAGAATCATCTATGCTGTTTTACAGATTCCAGATGTCCAGTCCCTGCCCCAGAGCTAATGAGTAACAGAGGATCAAAGGGTAGCCAAGCAGTAAATCTTTTAATTTTTTTTTAAGTTGGGGTCTTGCTCTGTCACTCAGACTGGAGTACAATGGCATGATCATGGCTCACTGCAGTCTTGACCTCCTGAGTAGCTGGGATTATAGGCACGTGTCACCACGCCCGGCTAATTTTTTATTTTTTTGTAGAGACAAGGTCACAATATGCTGCCCAGGCTGGCCTCGAACTCCTGGCCTCAGCAACCCTCCAGCCTTGGCCTCCCAAAGTGCTGGGATTAGAGTTGTGAGCAACTACACCTGACCCCAAGCAGTAAAACTTTTTATCATATAACTGTGCTTATTTTTATCTGGTTTTGATGTCAGTTTCTCATCACTTAAGAGCTTATGTTTTGTTTTCTTCTGTCCTTTCTTTATGCAGATCATTAAAATCTGTATAACCTCCCAGGATAGAGATTCCTGGCTATGATGTTTCTCTGGAGGGACCTAAGAGGCTTGGTGGGGGAGGAGATACACATTACTTTAAAACTGTCATGTGTTTATTTGACTGTGTAAGCAAAAACTGCTATACAGATTTTCACAGTAGAAATATGAAGTTCCCTTTTAAAATAAATTTATTATGTTAAAAAGCAATTCTATAAAAAGCAAGAAAAATTACTAATTAAGTATTAGGAGGCCATGGCAACCCTGTTAGGGTGATACGAAGTGCCCACCTTCCAGGAGGTTGCGAGGTTATGAATAACCTATGTAATGAGCTTAACATAATACTAAACACACTGTGTTGTCCTGAAAGTCCCTGCTTATTCAAGAGACGTTCACTCTCAGCCAGGGTTTCTTAAGCTTTCCTATACACATGCATTCACCTGGCACACTTGTTAAAATGCAGATTTTGAATCACTGGGGAATGGCCAAAGGGACCAGAGACCATCTTTGAAACAGGCTATACATGATAGACATAAAATAAATATACTAAAGGTCTATTTCAAGGAGGGAGAAATAATTCTCACTACTAATCCAGCTTAAAAACAAGGCTATAAAGATATAAAATTAGGAAATACAGAATGCATTTGAGTCATCTATCAAGGACAAATGAAGACTATTTCTATCTTTCTTTAGAGCCAGACACACACGGCACAACATACAGTGAGAGGTATAAGACATATGGCAATAACATGAAATATTCAATAGATTTAAATTTAAATATTAAGATAGGCATTATAGCCAGGCATAGTGGCTCACACCTGTAATCCTAGCACTTTGAGAGACTGGGGAGAGGATGGCTTGAGCCCAGGAGTTCGAGACCAGCCTGAGCAACACAGCGAGACCTTCTCTAAAAAAAAAAAAAAAAAAATTAAAAATTAGCTGAGTGTGGTAGTGTGTGCCTATAGTCCCAGCTACTCAGGAGACTGAGATGGAAGGATTACCTGAGCCCAGGAGGTAGAGACTGCGGTGAGCTGTGATTGTGCCAATATTCTAGATCCCGACTCAGAAAAAGGCTTTATTATAAGAGGCACAAGTTTCATTAACAAAAAACAAACAAATAAAAAACCTACAAATTATGTATAAAAGTAAGTAATTAAATAGGAGGGGAAGAAAGATTCCTCCTAGTTCTTTTTTTTTTTTTGAGTTGGAGTCTCTGTCACCCAGACTGGAGTGCAGTGGCCGCTCCTGGCCACTGCAACCTCGACCTGCTGGGCTCCGGCGATCCTTCCGCCTCAGTCTTCCAAGTAGCCGGAACTACAGGCGTGCGTTCATTTTTGATTTATTGTAGAGATGAGGTCTCGCCAAGTTGCCCATGTGGGTCTCGAACCCACGGGCTCAGGCAATCCACTCACCTCAGCCTCCCAACACACAGGATTATAGGCTGAGCCACCGAGCCTGGTTTCTGGTACTTTTTACTAGTACTAGAACTACTATCCTTTGGAAAATTACATAAAGCATGTGAGACTTCAGAACTAGGAGGAATTGGCCAGGCACAGTGGCTCATGCCTATAATCCCAGCACTTTGGGAGGCTGGGGTGAGAGGATTACCTGAGACCATGAGTTGAGACCAACCTGGACTCATCTCTACAATAAATTAAAAAAAAGAACTAGGCGGGCTTGGTGGCTCAGCCTGTAATCCTGCGCTTTGGGAGGCTGAGGTGAGTGGATTGCCTGAGCCCG